CAGCAACTGGAAGATTGAAGATGTTATACCGATCTCCTTTAGTCAGGAGTAAATGCTACTTTCTGTTTTATTGCTTTCAAGTTTTGGTTATGCAATCCTAAAACAATAACTTTAAGCCTTATGTCTTACCCGAGGCACAACAGTTCATTTGTTAGGGTTGTCATTTCATTAACATATTTTCATTCAATAAATCATTGGATGTTTGCATTCAAATTTTGCGCTCTTTGTCTTTCTTTTATTTTATCACTTTTAAAATAGCTATGTGTTCTTACACACACCCACGCGACAAACTGCAGATCCACATCCACTCTAAATCCCATTGATAACAATTATGCTATTTCCACTTATGACTTCAAAAATACGATCTACCAAACTGAGGACGAAGGTGAGGAAGATTGTGAAGTACATAGAGAACTTGTCAGACTGTTAGTGCAAGAGGAAAAAACCATACAATCGCATGAAGAGCCAGTCGAGATTGTAAACTTGGATACTGAAGATGACAGGAAAGAAGTCAAGATAAATGTCAACTTAGAAGACAGTATCAAGAACAGATTAATTCAGATGTTACATGACTATGTTGAGATCTTTGCTCGGTCTTACGAAGACATGTCAGGACTCGATACTGATATTGTGGTTCACCGTCTACCAATGAAAAAAATTATTCTCCAATAAAGCAAAAGGTTCGTCGCATGTGTCCTGAAATATTTGAAAAGAAGATGAAATAAGAAGAAAAAAAATATGTGAAACAAAGAAAAATAAAGAAGAAACTATCTCAAAGAAGTTTTATATAAAGACTCTCTAAATTAAAATAAAATATTTTCATATAATAATATTTATAAAAAATTATAATAAAAATTTTTGTGTAAAGATTCTTTAAATTAAAATAAAATATTTTTATATAATAATATTTTTTTAGAATATATAGTAAAAATTTATATAATATAAAAAAGAATTTTTCTTTTAGATTACCAGTAGCCCACTACAATCCCCTCTTAGCCTCCTAGGTCAATTTCTCTTTTTTTTCTTTTTCTTTTTTTCTTTTCTATAAATGGTATTCTAACGTTCAAGTTTTTGATTGATCGTACCTTATACTAAAAGAAGTATAGTTTTTACAAAAATCAAGACTATTAAATTTCAATATTAATAATGGGAGCCATGTATTAAAACATCACTATTGAGGGCCGCCATCTTTGCTGACGTGTGAGTAGCCATGTTTTTTGGATCTTATAAAACTTATAAGCACATACTACAATACAAGTCAATCCTAAATGAAACACAATCAAAATTTATTTTATATTATTTGAAATGAAATATAATAAGTATTAACTATTTCTTTTTTATTCAATCAAGGCCTGTGTAAATTATATAATTATATAAGTCTTTAAATTATATAATTAATTAATAAAATAATTATATTCTACTATTTCAAAAATTAAAATTCATAAATTTCATATAAAATAAATATTATTTAAAAATATTAAATTAATTAACTTTACCATTATATTAAAAATAGAAATGATTAATTAAATATATAATTGACATAATTATACTTTCAATCTTGTATCTTACCGTATTAAAGAAATTAATCATTTTGTTTCAAATTCAAATAATTTTGATCATTTTAATGTTTTTAAATTTAAAAATAACAATGTGTTCATTTTTAAATGATGTGTGACTTCTAAAAAATGACAAATCATCATATAAATTTTTTTACATAAAAATTATTAGTATCAATTAAGTTAGAAGAAAATTAAAATTGTTTAAATTTATAATAGTAAAATTAATTTCATAAGTAAGATAAATTAGGGAAATCAAATCTCTAATAAAATCTAAACAACTTTACATTTAATTTTTTTTAAATTAATAAAACTTAATAATTTTAGTTTATAAAAAATATCATCTTTTTCAATATTTTGAATTCGTTTTTTAAAATTTTTCTTTTAACTCCTCAATAAAATAAGATTTCTTCAAACTTGACATTGAGTCAAGATTTCAGTAGAATTTGCATATTTGGCGCTTCACGTGGTTTTTTTTTTTTAAATTCTACGTGGAAATTCGATTATTTTTTATTACTTTTTAATTGTTTTTTTAAAAATTATTAGTTTTTCAAAAAATTTATTTTCTCCCACTAAGACAAACTTATTATTTTGTTTTATTTATTCCATACTAATTTGATATATTAATTTTGTATGGTATTCAATTTTTTCGATAAATATTTAATTTTATTTTTTTGGACGGTTGAAAATATCAATCTAATAGTATACACGATCGAAAATATAATATACACGTGAGTAGAAAATACGAATCTAATAAAAAAAGCCTTACCAAAATATAATGTATTTGAACTATTAATTTATTAGATTCGTATTTTCTACTCACGTGTATACTATATTTTCGATCGTGTATACTATTAGATTCGTATTTTCGATCATCCAAAAAAATAAAATTAAATAACTACCGAAAAATTAAATACCACACAAAATTAATGTATTAAATTAGTATGAGATAAATAAAATAAAACAATAAGTTTTCCTTAGTGGGAGAAAAAAATTTAATTTTTATTTTAAAAATAATTAAAAAATAATTAAAAAAATTTTAAAAAAAAGTTTAGAAAAAGTTTTTAAAAATAAAAATAAAAATATTAAAAAAATCGAATTTCCATGTAGAATTTAAAAAATATTAAAAAATAAATAAAAAAACCACATCAAGTGCCACATAAGCATATTATGTTGGAATCTTTACCCAAAGTCAAATTTGAGAGAATCTTGTTTTGTTGAGAGACTAAAAGAATTTTTTTTTTTAAAGATAAATCAAAACTTACTACTATTGCATTAGATAAAATATATTTAACCTTAAAATTATATGAATAAGAAATATAAGAATTTATATTTGTCATTGTTTTAGAGGATAAATTTAAATTTATTTTAAATTTAATTTTCTTTTTAATAGAAATTATGGTGTAGTGATTATAATGAATTATTGAGATTTAATTCTTATCTTTTTTGTTTACATACTTTATTATTAATAAGCATTTTCCATACTTATATCATACTATTTCAAATTCAAACAATTTTAATATTTTTTTATATTTTTAAATTTAAAAATGACGATATACTTATTTTTAAATGATGTGTGATTTATGAAACATGACAAATCAATATATAAATTTTTTTAATAAAATTTTATATATGAAAAATATCAATATCAATTAAATTAGAAGAAAATCAAGACTCTTTAAATTTAAATACTAAAATCAATTCCATAAATAAGATAAACTAGGAGAATCAAATATGTAATAAAATCTAAACAACATTGCATTTTAAAAAAATTCAAAAAAATTAAATAAAAATTAATAATTTTAATTTATAAATAATATCATCTTTTCCAATATTTTAAACCCGGTTTACACTAAAATTAAAATATATCTTATTTAATTTTGTGTATGCTTATTAAATTAACTTATTAGTCACCGAAAAAGGTATTTTAGAACTTTAATTTAGATTCAATTTGATGAAATAATTGAAAATTGATAAGTTAGTCCATAATATATATAGTCGAGGACGAATAGCTTCTAGTTGATAAGTTTTAACTAATAAACTAAAATTAATAATTTTATTAATTGATAAATATAAAATAATTATCTTTTATGCAAAATATTTAATATTTAATATATATATATATATATATATATATATATATATATATATATATATATGTGTGTAAAATTAAATGTAAAATTAAAAATATTCGACAAATATATGTAAATTTTGATAATCGTCAATAAATAACATAGTAAGAACGAAAAACAATAATGATAAAAAATAGAATGAAATCGATAAAAAAAATAGAATAAAAAAAATATAAAATGAAAATAACAAACAAAAGAATGAGTGAAACGTTGCAATAAAATATTCATATTTTTTAGGTATAGAATTTGACTTTTTTTTTAAGTTTGCATTTAAGATATGTTTAGTTTATTTTAAATTATAATGAATTATAAATGATTAAAAAATTAATTAAAATAACAAAAATATGAAATGAATATAAAATAAAAATTTAACTCAACAACTATTTTAAATAACATTTAAAAAAATAAAAGCTATAAATTATTATAAAAAAAAATTAATAATTCAAAAACTATTTAAAATAATTTTTTAAATAGTGAAGATTCATTGACCCTGAATATAAATTTAAATTCTAACCTAAATCTCAACAAAATAAATCAAATAATATTTATTTTTAAGTTATTTTTTAGAAAAATAAATATGATATAGAATTTTTAATTTTTTAATTTAATTTAATATGACCGTTTGATTTATTTATATTAATGATTGAGATTTGATGAATTTTTTTTTTTGATTTATATATGATATAAATGAAATTGATTTAAAAAAACGTAAAACTTATTATATCTGTCTTATAATAAGTATTTTATTTGTATTTTTTTTTGGTCTTAAAATAATTGTCTATTTGTAATTCTAATGCATTATTTATTATTATTTTTCCATTATTATATTGCTATTTATTATCTTTTTAATTTATTTAATTACTCTATTAATTATAATTAATATAAGTATTCTAATAAATTTTATTAATTTTTTCATTAAAATTAACATATTTAATTATTTTTTTAAGAATTGCGTTTTACAAAAATAAAACTCTTATTATGAGACGGAATTATGAGACGGAATAAATAAAAGTTAATCTAGGTTTTACTTAAGAATATATATAATTGTTATTGGTTGAGAGTGCGATTGTTTTGTCAAAAATGAATAAAAAAAGTCTAATAATTAGTGATATAAAAAGCATTATGAAAGTTGTGTTAATCCAACCAAGTTGAAGAGCAAAGAGCAAAGACAACATCAACAACATCTGACAGACAGCAACGTTATTCGTCTACAAATATCGATTGATCTCTAGTAGTTAGCAAATTGTGCCACGGCAGCCCAAGTACACATTCCGCTTAACCCGAACGCGTCCTAGGTTAGTATAATTCTTTTCATTATTATTCCCTTCTCTCTCTCTTCTCCTCCACACGCTTCTCTCTCTACCTTTCTCAACAATTTTCCCTTCTCATCTCTCTCTCTTGATTTTCCAGCTTCCTCCACCTTCACCTTCACGTTCATCTTCTTTATTTTCACTTTTCATCGTTCTTTTGTTTTTCTGGCCCCTGCTTCATTATTCCTCACCTTGATCCACATCCTCAAAACTGATTCAATTTCCACAAACAATTCGAACCAGGGATTCATTCTTACCTTTCTCTCTGTTCCAATTCTTTTAATTCTCACAAATTCAGATATCCTTCATTATGCTTATCTCAACCATTCTGGTCAGCATTTACCTCTATTTCTTTTCTAACTCAACCTTTAACATATATTTAAGGGTTGGATCTTCAATTTTGCATTAATTCTTTCTTTATACAAGCTTTCAGTTTTTTTAATTTAAGGATAAACAATCTCATTTCATTTGGGGTTAATTTCTCTTTTTCATTATTATTATTATTATTATTATTATTATTATTATTATTTTGAATTAGGAATATACTACCAATAAGATACTTATATGCCTATTTGTTGCTATGATTGCAGAGATTCTGTTGTTGATGAAATCACAAGGTTCTTAATATGGACAGCTCAGAAACATAAGTTTGGATCATAATTACTACCACTGGACTTTAAAATTTGGCTACTCACCAATAATCTGAATTTCTGTTAAATCTTGTTTTCAAATATATTACTGGACACCATGGCTGTTGAACTTGCTCTTATTGCTTCAAGGTTACAAAATTTAGCTACTTCTGACCATGCCTCCGTAGTTTCCATGAACTTGTTTGTGGCACTTTTATGTGCTTGTATTGTTCTTGGCCATCTTCTTGAGGAGAATCGGTGGATGAATGAGTCCATCACTGCCCTTTTGATTGTAAGTCTTCAATTTCCTTTTGCTGTTATTGCTTTGTGTCTACATCTACTTCTATTGCATGATGACTAAATTGTATTTGGAATTTGTTTTCAGGGTATTTGCACTGGTGTATTCATTTTGCTGTTAAGTGGTGGAAAAAGCTCGCATATTCTGGTTTTCAGTGAAGACCTTTTCTTTATATACCTTCTGCCACCTATAATATTCAATGCCGGGTAAGTCTGTTATTTTGTACCATCTTATTGCTTTCTATGGAATCAATGTTTGATTATGAATTTATATATCATATTCGAATTAAAAGGGAAGGGTGCTTAGTTTTGTTCACGTGTGAGTCTAAAATTCATATTCTGCATTTTTTTTATTCTTATAATTTCATCATGTATGAGTCTGAAGGATTGCAAATTTGCAATTATCTGTTTATTTTAATGAATTTGTTCTCTATAATATATTTCAGGTTTCAGGTGAAAAAGAAGCAGTTTTTCGTCAACTTCATGACTATCACGTCGTTTGGTGCTATTGGCACACTAATATCTTGCTGCATCATAACTTTGGGTATGTTTTGCCGCTTTAGATTTATAAATTAGGCGAAAATTTGACTAGTCCTGCTGGCTTAACATGAGGCATTATTTCAGGTGCTACCCAAGCTTTTAAGAGGATGGATATTGGGCCACTGGAATTGGGCGATTACCTAGGTATTAAACTACTCAATCTTATCTAGTTGTCAATTTCTCATTCGGCTTCTGACTTACTAATTTGTGATGATTTTTAGCTATTGGATCAATATTTGCCGCGACAGATTCTGTTTGCACGTTGCAGGTTTGAAAACAATGTAGTTTTTGCATTCTTCCATCAACTAATGCATAACAGATAATTACTGACCTTATAAATGATGATGCAGGTGCTAAATCAAGACGAGACACCTTTGTTGTATAGTCTTGTATTTGGGGAAGGTGTTGTGAATGATGCTACCTCAGTGGTGCTTTTCAATGCAATTCAAAGCTTTGATCTCAACCAACTTAACCCTTCAATTGCATTGCACTTCTTGGGCAACTTCTTCTATTTGTTTATCGCAAGCACCCTCCTTGGCGTTTTGGTAAAAGACTTTCTCTGTCTAAGTTTCTCATGCACACGTTACGCATACGAGATATAAGTCAAAAGTGAGCGCACACATACACATTGATATGACTTGTGTTTTGGTCTAATTTATTTCTATCACCTTGCAGACAGGTCTGCTCAGTGCTTACGTTATTAAAAAGCTCTACATTGGCAGGTATATTCTGAACATTTTGCCATTCCCATTGTATTTTCAGTAGTATAAGTCTTTGCTGAAGTTTAAACGATTTTCTTCTTGATTCCAGGCACTCTACAGATCGTGAGGTTGCACTTATGATGCTAATGGCATACCTCTCTTATATGCTGGCTGAGGTAGGTTTTATAGAACTTAGGTAATGTTTTCTGGATGCTTCCAACGTTTCTCACTAGCTTGATGCTTACTTATCTTCATCTTGTGCAGTTATTCTATCTGAGTGGCATTCTCACCGTATTCTTTTGCGGTATTGTCATGTCTCATTATACCTGGCATAATGTGACTGAGAGCTCAAGAGTCACTACCAAGTATGTCTTCTAAACAGATTTTGTCAACATATGTTCAATGTCTGAGTCTCTCTATATAGATATATCTGTTATACAATTAATCATATCTTTTTTCGTCTAACTCTCCACAGGCATTCTTTTGCTACCCTGTCGTTTGTTGCCGAGATCTTCATCTTCCTATATGTTGGTATGGATGCCCTGGACATTGAAAAATGGAAGTTTGTTAGTGATAGGTACGTCCTATGTTCTCTATTGGACTGGTGATCAATCATTCAGACACCCTTTTTATCGAACGATTTTTTCTTAATGTCATTCCTCATTTCATGTCCTTAAAAGGGTTTGGTGGATCTGCTTTACTGAGCGATATTTTTCCCGTTTATTCCTTTTTGTTATTAAATTTTTTTTCATGTGCCGCACTTGGTTTCTTCTGCAGTCCTGGAACATCTATAGCAACAAGTTCAGTATTGTTGGGTTTAGTACTCCTTGGAAGAGCAGCTTTTGTTTTCCCCTTATCCTACTTATCCAACTTGACTAAAAAATCACCACATCAGAAGATCTCCTTCAGACAACAAGTATGGCCATATTTCTATCAAGTATCCATTTCTGTATTTCTTGCACTTCGATACCACGTTATTATAATAACAAGTTTCTTCTTTTTTTCCGCTCATTTTAGGTGATCATTTGGTGGGCTGGTCTTATGAGAGGTGCTGTTTCAATGGCACTCGCGTACAATCAGGTATGAGCAACACTTATGTTGCTGCTGTTGTTGTTATTGCCACTAAAGATGAGAATTGATGCATAAAAGCTTATACTAATTATTTAATGCAGTTCACGATGTCGGGGCATACTCAGCTGCGCAGCAATGCAATCATGATCACCAGCACCATCACGGTCGTCCTTTTCAGCACAGTGGTAAACCATCAGTTTATAGTTTCTGACATTTTTCGACATATGAAAATTTGTATACAGATGAAACTAACACAAGTTACTTACAAATTTATCAGGTATTCGGTTTGTTGACCAAGCCACTTATAAGGCTTCTACTACCTCATTCTACAATCACAACCAGCATGACAACCACAGAAACATCTACTCCAAAATCATTCGCTGTTGTCCCACTTCTAGGAAATTCCCGAGATTCAGAAGCTGATCTGGAAGGCCATGAAATTCACCGTCCAAACAGCCTCCGCGCCTTACTAGCTACTCCAACTCATACTGTTCATCGACTATGGCGAAAGTTTGATGATTCATTCATGCGTCCCGTTTTCGGTGGCAGGGGTTTTGTTCCTGTAGAACCTGGCTCACCTAGCGAACGCAATGGTAATAGTCATTGGTGATAATAAATGACTATTACCTGGCTCAGTTATAGCTGATGATATGAAATGTGTTGTATACTATTTATGTTTTGTGAAAATCAAGCAATGCGTGTATAGTGTATCTATGCATGGTAGTGAAGTTTTGTTAAGTTGTTCAAGTAGATAGTATGGAAAGGGCTTGTACCACAAGCCATCTATGTCTATTTTGTAAACTACAATATTTTTTAGATTTTATGAGCCACTACATGTTTGTTTATGTGTTGTTTTTTTGTATGCAGTGAACCAAATAAATATCTCGCATTTTATTGTTAGTTTATGATTGAGTTGAATCTATGTCTCCTCACCAATTCATCTCTTATGTCTACTAAATCACCATGCTCTGATATCGGATTAGAAGGTGCGTTAATGAAAATAATAATGTTAACATTTAAAAATAATCATGTAAAGTTAAATGTGGAAGAAGTATTGAAAATATTAAAAGATATGATTTTATTTATGAAAAATACTTATAAAGGAAGGCAAATCAAGAATTATAAATTCTAATATTGAAAATTTACAATACATAAATGATTCTTTTATAGGCAAGGATCACACACGGATTTGAAACTAAAATAAACTAAGCATAAATTTTATAAAAGGTAATGGTTGATGTAACCTGAATAATTGAAATAAAACTTAATGAAATAGTGTCAATAAAATCTGGGTGAAAGATAATTGAGTCAGCAGAGAGGGGTCACTGAAAAGAAAAATCTTCTTAATCTTATGTTTAATATAATTGAACTTATCTTCAAAATAATTGAATGATTTATACGATCCTGCCTTATAGGATCATGTCTTTGAAAACTATATAATTCCATAACAATTATTCTCATTAATATTCTCAGAAGTGTTAGAAGTACTATAACTTTTGGATAAAACATTCATAGTTTTTTTTACAACACATTCATAGTTATTAATAGTTTCTTTAATCTTGCTTAAAAGTTTTTTATGACTTGAAGTAGCAGATAAAGAGGCAAGTAATGATTCACATAACACCCTCTTTTTTTATTTTTTATATTCTATATTATTTTCTCTTTCTTCCGTTTAATAATTTAATATACATTCAACTTTTACTCACTACAATGATTTTATTTAATAAAATTCAACACTCTGCTTTACCACTTTTATTTCATATTTTTATTTTCTTTTATATTTTTGTTTTTATAATTTTATATTAATATCAATTATCGATTGAAATAAAATTAAAATAATTAAGAGTTAAATAATTTATTTTTATTTTTTTTCAAATTTAACAATTTATTTGAATTGTTTTCTAAGTTTATGTTCTTAATTTATTTGAATTTTTTTCTAATTTTATAGAGATAGTCATTATTAAAACAAATAAAAATGGATAAAACAATATTTTATTGGAGGTTAAATAGAAAAAATATAGAGAAAAAGTAGTTTTTTTTTGTGTGTATCTAAATTAAATGAACCAAATCTCTATTTATAGACAAAAAATGACGAATTTTGGTGAAAATAAAAAATAAATAAATAATAAATTTATTATAAAATAATTGATTCCAAATAATTAAGGTGAATCAAAAATTTAAACAATAACAACAACCAATAAGATTTTATAAAGTATTATATGTGGTGTCACTCTCTCCTCATTTAACATGTTGAATGTTTTCAACACATATTGATCCACCTCACTTTCAACCCTTTATTCAACACTCCATTGCACTTATTCAACTATTGAATAGTTTTTTTAACACCTCCATTGTACATAGTCTAATTAAGTAGAAGATGACCCTTTCCATAATTATTCTGTTGAAAAGGTCCAGGTTGAAATCCACATAATTCCAAAAACATAATAAAGACTTGTAATGAGGACAAATAATTTTTCGATAAAATTGTTGAATGCCTTTGAGGCACAATCAAGTGTGGTTGAAATGTTCAAGAGACAAAAAGTTGAACCAAACGTCTATGTAATCACAGTAAGAATAGTATTGTGGAGTAAAGGTTCAAGAATTTTTTTTTTATTCTGATGGAGGTTGTTTCCAATGAGAAGGAGACAATACCTTATTAATTTTGAATTTAGAGAATTTAATTTTAGATTTATCATTCTGATGGGTAAGTGTAATAGACTCGGAATCTACTAGGATAAATTTGTAGAATTTTCTGATCTTAGATTGGTATTCAGAAATGAAGAAAAATCCTAGAGAAAAAATTCTTGAAATATTTTGTAATTGATATAGATAAATATTTGGTAATAAAGGTCAATTTTGGTAAGGAAAAAGAAGTAATATAGTAGGCTAATTTAGAGGGTGAACTTTCTGAATAGACAATGGACTGGTAATTTGAGAGGTAAAAGTTAATGGAGTTAATAAAGTGGGCTTAATAGCTGTCAGGGGAGTAGCAATTATAAGAGGGGTAACTTTGAAAATAAAAGATGGAAAACCTAAAATTATTTCATTATCTTTTTTATCTTTAATGGGGGGACCATAATCATCTCTGGGGTCAACTAATTTTGTACTCATGTTTTTTCTGTAAAAATTCTCTGGTTAGAAAATGAGCAACCAGCTCAACTCGGGTATTCAAGTCCTTCGTATCCTCTGGCTCGTCTTCAGCGGGTGCAGCCTCAACAACCAAAGCCATCACCCCTCCTCCAGAGCCTTTTTCTCATGCAGCCAGACCTTGTGCTCCTCGGATAGCTTCCCCAGATCTTTCTCGGCCAGCTCCCGAGCTTGCTCCTCGTTGCTCCTCCCCTTCTAAACCGCGACCACTTTGGCACGTAGCTTCTTTAGCTAGAATTCTTGAGAAGAGCTCCCTTCGGTGTAGGAGACTTCCATCTACAATATCCTCATCAGGCTACAAGCATCATGCGCTCACACTTCCCTTTTCTCCGGGAGATCCAACCCTTCGAGGTGAAGAGACTCAGCCTGGGGGAGTTGTAAAGCGGCACCCTCAAAGAAAGCCCTTTCCAGCCAGCAGGGGGCAGATCATACTTTCCTTTCCCCTTTTTCTCGATCAAATCAATGCTCCCTTCGACGCGTGGTCTCTTCGCCTTCGAGGATACATGAGCGGGAGATAGGGCGACAGTAGCTTGACCCGAAGACGAGTTGCCCGACCCTGGCGTGGAAGCAGTCCATGGACCGGCCTGGGCATATTTCAACGCCCTCTTCTTTTGCCACAAGGTTCCTGGCTATGCGTTCCTGAGCAGGATTCATGCTATCTGCAGAACAAACAATAAATCAGAGTTAACAAACAAGGACTTAAAAATGTCGACCATATATAATTATTCAAAACATAAAGCTAAATACCCAAGTATTTAACGGGGTCCTCGCTTTTGAGGAGCTCCTTAATGACTATCAGAACAGGTTCGTACACGATCTACTGTTCTTATCTGTGGCCAGCTTTCATCCCCGGCCCACGCGCTGGACGCGAAGAATCTGCACGACAAAAGTAGTCAAAATGATGAAGCTCGTTTGGTCCTAGTCACCAAGCCCCCCTCCTTCCACACGAAGGAACCCAACTTGTTGTCAAAATGCTTCCTCGTCCACTAAAAAGGGAACTTGTAGACTAACTTACTCACATGTTCCCCCAGCTCGTTCAAGACAGGGGCCCCATTCCCATCATATTATGGAGTAGCCCGAAAAACATTCAGCATTGCCCTGCTCGAAAGAGGCTGCACGAGAATATACTTGTCCTTAAAGTGCCGAACAGATTCCAGATTAGCTTTAAACAACTTCCCACTGCCCTGCTTCAAGGAGACCCATCCCCACTTGTCGTTAACCTTGCTCTTCTGGAGATGGAAATAATAGAAGATAAAGGAATGGTGAATCCTATCTTTAAATAATCACAAACATTATCGAACGCTCGCATAAAAGAGACCCCGTTTGGATACAGCTGAGAAGGAGTCAGTCGAAGATGCTTGAAAACGGACACCTGGAAATCTGATAAGGGAAGTCAAAGGCCAATCTTCTGGAACACAATGTCATACATAGGGATCTACCGCTTATCTTATTTTGAGCAGATCCGACTATCTTTCTCGGGAATCCAAAGCGACCACCCCCCCCCCCCCTCGGCTCTCATCGTCGTACACACACACTTTAGTAAAAACCTCATCCTGGTGCTCGAAGAAGTAAGAAACCCAATTCCAATGATCCTCCACGACCCAGGACAACGGGTCCTCGTCATCCTCAAGTGCGAACAGGCCATCCTGATCGGTGGAAGCCATCTCCACATCCTCCCCCCTTGCTTCTTGATCGGACTGGTTCAGCGTGTCCCCGAATATCTCAAAGATGCTCGACGTACTACAAGTCTCATCCGTAGAACTCTGGGAGGATCCGGTCTGTCTGTCCGAAAGATCGCCTCCGATATTATCGGCCATAGTTTCTGAAAAGCAGAGGATAGAGGTAAGTTCGACATCAATGTCAAAACCACCCTTTCACCACTAATCAAGTGAAAAGGCGTTGATAAACGAGGATTATGTCTCCGACTAGAATCCTCACTAAGGCATCTGAACGAACAAACACTTTTCCCAACAAGACAAACTCCAATAAAAAACGACCTAAATCCTTAAGGGTCATCTACGACACGTCGCAAAAATTCAGGAGGATCCACGGCGGCTCCGGTGATTCTAAACTACAAAACCACCGTCTGCCACCAACACTCCCCGAGAATGTCCTAACAGACAGGATCTTAAGCCTAACCGCATGCATTTCTAAGAGGAAAATCGTGAAAATCTAAGCTACAACAGCTAAATAACAACGAAAAACCGGAATGTTACTAATTAAAGAAGGAAGGAAGTTAAAAGGAACGACGGCGAACAATTAATCTTCAAGAAACAACGGCAGTCAACAGGCGAGTAATAACGAGCAATGCGAGAGAAGAATGAAAAATGCATAATGCCCTACTCCTCTCATATTTATAGCTAAACTCGCCCCGCACGTGAGAGACACACGCCTAGGGAACCCTAGGACCGTCAACATTGCACCCTAGCCCCTAGGCCGCCATTGTGTCTGCGCACTACCCAAAACACACTACCTCTTCAATTTTCAAAGCTCAAACGACCAACTAATGATCTCCCCGCGAGAAAGGCACAACAAGCGACAATCACGCTCCCCCGTAAGAAGCGCCCCATTCTATGAGCAGGTTTTAAAGTTATCACTCATGTGCTCAGAAGCAACGACTTGGGGGATACTGTTCTGGACTGACCCAATGGCTAGAGTAGGCCCAGTCTAATCTCCTCCTTTGGCGCGGCCAGTGCGACAACGGCCCGGTCTCCCCGTCCTCCGTCGGGCACCATCGATCATTTGTCCTCCTGGACCAGCATTGATCTACAACAATCGACGAGCGCCTCTCAGTCTGCCCGATCTTAAGTCGGTCAGAAAACCAGAAACTGACTAGACTGCTGCCCGTAACCTACCTCTTTCTCGGGACTAACGACTAGTTGCAAGCACACCTGCCCGGTTTGACCAAGTCCTTATAGTTACCTATTTTTGCGGACATGTATTTCCAGGTCCAAAAATAGAGACCAATCGCCAAACACCAGAGGCACTATATAAACCATCACTCATGTGAGAGTAAGTATCAAATATTTATTATTCATCATTAAAACCCTAGTACTTTACTTATATCTCTTTTGCTTTCACACTTACTTAATCGTCAGAATGACTTACAGATAAAATCAATATTTAATCCATAAAATAATTATTCAACACTTATTTTGTCTATATTTATCTTTCTATCAAATTTTAAGAACACCCAAAATAATCAATTCGGAAGCGCACAAGTAAAACTAATCAAAACCAATAATCCAAATTTCTCCAAGCTATACGATTTCACGTGTTACTCTTCCGCAACTTAATCTCTAGCTTCACTAAATCTAATTTTCTTCCTCGATTCCGATTCTCCGGTTAGATTTGGGATTAGGGTTTTCCATTCCCAGAAACCGTTCATTTCTCGCACAAATGGTTGACCAATCGGTTCTATCAATAACAAACCACGGTTCAGATTCTTCCACTAGAGTATTATCAAAGGGATTCACCGACTGGGTTTTCGACTGTCACGGGTTCTGGCACAATGCTGTGTTGATCCTCTCCTCTTTTCTCTTCGTTTTGTATTTGGCTCTTCAAGCCAGGAAGAGCTTCGTTAAACTCACCAATGGCCGCTCTTACATCATTATCTCTTATTACGCCTCTCTTTGGCTTGTCAGCATCCTTAATCTCGCTTGGTGCTTTTCTCAGGTATCTTTTTCTTCATTTTTTGTTGCATTAACCTAGTTTCTTCCAATGATTTTATGGCGATAATTCAGGCATGGGAGTGTTCGCCTGGGAAAGAGCTAACTTGGAACTTGTTGTCCTTGTTCACTTCTTCTGGAATGCTGTTTCTAGAAGTGAGCTTGCTCGCGTTTTTACTTCAGGGTAATAATGCAACTGGTGTCGACGCTTTGACACGAACTTTCGGTATATCTGGTATCATTGTTGGTTTTGATGTCTTGTTAAAGGTAATTCATTCTCTTTTCTTTTCATTTCATTACAATTTTTGTTCGCCGTGTCAATGGTTTCATCTTTTCTTTCTTAGGCTATATATCTCTTTGCATTTGGGGTCCCATTGTTCATTGATACCGATTACAGTACTCCCCGTGTCAAGTGGAACTTATGGGTTATCCACAAGCTAGTCCTTACTGTTGTTTATGGGTTCATATTGTTTATGTATCATTCTAGGTGGAGAGAAAGGTTACCGGGTAAGTTTATTATAGAGATTGTTACTATTTACAAATGTTCGCTTGCTATTATTTCTGTGATGGTATTTTTGTTTTCCTTCCTTTTGTAGCAAGACCGGCGTTCTACAAGTATGTTATTATTATGTTCATCGTGAATGCAATTGCGTTGTTTGCTTGTGGGCTTACTGGAAGTGGCGCTGCTTTTGCTTTTTGGTTAGCTTTTTCTAAAGCTTGATACAATAGCTTTGAACCTTCTTCTTTGGCTTCTTTTTTCTGAAGCTTGTGTTTGCTTTTTCTTGTAGGTTTTATCGTGTCACTGTTGTGTGTTACCATGCCTTTTATCTTCCACTGCTGTATATTACATTTCTGGCTGACTTTTTTCAGGTTACAATGTGATTTACTCGATGGCTGCCGTTTTGTTTTTTCTTATTATGCAAAATGCAGTATTGTTCGATGTAGACAGCCTAGCTGATTGTTCTTTTGATTTCAGGAGGAAGATTTTCACATGGAGAATGTGTATTACTCTGAAATGAAAGATGCTGGTTTCTTCGAATCCGATTGGGACTGATGTGGTATCAAGTATTAACTGTAAGATTAGACTAATAAGTCCTCAATATGTCAATTGCAGGACATAACTTACACGACATTTGTAAATGAGTAAATATGTTTGTAGATGGCTTTGTATATCTTTCTTTTTGGGAATTTATTTTTAGTAGACAGTTACCTCGTTGAGTATTTTGATTATTTTACCAGACTAATGTCCTATCTTATGCGAAGTTATCTTAAATTTTTTTAAGCCTGTTGCTACAATGAATCACAAAAAATAGTAAAGCGAATGCTACAATGAATCACAAAAAAATAGTAAAAGGAAAACGTGAGTCTTTTGATTGACAAAGAACGACACTTAAATTTTGTATATATTGATTCTATGAGGAATATGCTATGAACATCTTTTTTTGTCTCCCTCGATAACATTCATTTTTTTACAGGCTGTTTGGATACAGGAAAAAGAGTGGAGTGGGATGAAATAGACTAAAGATGTCATTCTATTATTTGGGGATTTCATGATGGAATAGAGTAATTTTGTCATTTGGTCTAAATTAGAGGGTTCAAAAAATGATAGAAAGTGATGGAATAGGAAGGAAAGCATTTCATCCGATATCGTTCTATTCCATTTTTTAAAATCAATTCAAATGATAATATAACTTTATTCCATTCTATTATGTCCACTTTCATCCATTCAAACATTCCACGATTAAAATTGAAATCGGGAGTTATTCATTTTAGAATTGTGTCTTGTAAAATAATGAATACTAAATGTGTTTCACCTAATAGGAAAAATAAGTGAGTGGGAACAAAAAGTGTTTCTAGCACTTTTTTTAAATCTAAGTTTTATATGAGTGTTTGTGGTGCGGTTTGTGTGGTTTTGATGTTAAAGTTATTCGAACTGTAAGAGAAAAAAAATATGCGGTTTAGTTTGATTTGGTTGATTTTTAAAAAAAATTGAACTAAATCAAACTAAATTAATGAGGTTTGATTCGGTTGATTTGATTTTTTACAAATATTTTATTGAGCTACATATATATATATATATATATATATATATATATATATATATATATATATATATATATATATATATATATATATATATATATATATATATATATATATATATATATATATATATATATATATATATATATATATATATATATGACAACATGATTTTATATTTAGTCATTCGTACACTATCAAATAACAATAAAACTTCTAATTTAATATGTCAAAATTAGATTAGACAAAAAGTAAAATAATAAACATAAAACAATATCAAAAATATTATAATGAAGCAAGAAAAGATTAGTGAAGATAAAATAATATAAAAAGTATTATAATGAAACAAGAAAAATATAAGAAATGAGAGATTAGTGAAGATAAAAAAGAAAGAACATAAGAGATGAAAAATTGGAGAAGAAGATGTGCAATAAAAATGAAAAGGTGGAAAAAAAAGAATATAAGAGATTAGAGATTAGAGAAGAAGAGACAAGATGTATGTGGCGAAGAATGTGCAATAATACTAGGAGAGATTTGAGAAGATTAAATCTGACATCGTAAGTGTAAGGATGAGAAAATTGTTCTTAGATTGTAACATAAGACAATTTGATTCGGTTTGCAAAATATAAACTACAAATCGAACCAAATCATATAATTTTTTAATAAAATAACTCAAACAAATCTAAACCAAATACGATTTTTTACGATTTCAATTTAGTTTAGTTAGTTTTACAGTTTTTTATTAAATTGGTTCTGCTTTTAACCCCTAATTTTATAGGCATAAGTTATGTTCGTTAATTTCTTTTTCAAACATTTATATAAGTAGTTTATAAGATAAAAATCCTTCTAGTTATTGTGAACTTGAAAAACATTAAATTTATGGAGGAAAAACAGTGGATTTGTTGCTTCTAAGAATCACGGTGGGAGAGTTTCAAACTCGTGGTGCGAACTATCCACTCTTTGGGAGTGATTGGTTTATCCTGTGATGAAAATTAATTTTAATTGGATTGATTTTGATAAAATTGATTTTAATTATTTAGATAATATTAATTTAGTTTTTCTAGAGGTTTATACACACTTTATGTTGATTATTAAATTGTGCCGTTGTCTTGTTTTACTTACATTGGGCTTTTGATACATTAAAAAGAAAAATTACTTCTTGCATCTTAAGTGGTAGAAACACACTATAAAAATCTGAAAATTTTCTTACAAATTTAAAAGTATCTTTTCAGATGCATTTAGTTTCACCCCAAAACAAAATATATTTTTAGTGAGGCTCACTCCTCAATGATTTTGTTCATTTAACAACTTACTAAAAAATTTAGATGTGCATTTTCGAATTTGTCAAGCAGGAATTTAAAAAAAAAACTCACATTTTGTGAGTGATATTATTGTTGAATGTCATCCAAAAATGTACTTTCAAATTATTTTAAAGTTGAATTTGGTCAGTTTTTTATATAAATATTTTCAATTATGATTGACCTTAGATATAATGCTCTCTGATATTGTCTCCAATCATATTGTGTTTATGGATGTCAAACCTGTAGATGTCAAGGTAAATATTGGCAACTAATTTACAAATGAACACGAGTTTATTGTTCACGATCGTATATGCTCCAATGGATCTGCACGGATATTGCCAAATTGGGGATTGGCGTTGTAATCAGAATGTCAGATAATAGTTCAGTTAAAAGAATTGTATTTGCGATACTGAGATGCGAAAGAAGTGACAAGTACACAATTCCTATAAGGAAGTTGAAACGATATGACACCTGACACCGATTCGAGAAAATGTGAGTGTCATTTTAACTTGTGTGAATATCTTTTGGGAAATAATAAATGGAGGTTTAATATTATTTGTGGTATACATAATCATGACATGGGTAAGAAGTTAGTCTTTCATGCCATTGCATGTCGCCTTATGCCTGAAGAGAAGAAATCGTTTATGACATGACATTGAATATGGCACAACCCCAGAAACATACTTGTGACTTTGAAATGGAAAAGAACTAAAAATATCTCAAATATCAAGCAAGTATACAACATGTGTGGCCAAAACAACAAGGTGATAAGAGGGGGAAAATTGAAATGCAATAACTGTTGAAGCTTCTGGATGATAACTATTATGTATCTAAGTACCGAGTGTGCGATGATAAGGAAATTGTTCGAGATATATTTTGGAACAACATATTTCACATTATACTCATTATTGATTCAACATATAAGACCGACATGTACATGTTTTCACTATTGGAAATTGTTTGTGTTAATTCTACGGAAAATACTTTTTCCACTGGGCTTGCATTTTTGGAAATCGAAAAAGAGGTCAACATTACTTGGATTTTAGAACTGTGCCAGACAATGTTGAAGGACAAAGAAAACACATCGAAGGTTGTTGTCACTGGTCGCCATAGTGCATTGATGAATTTGATTGCAAATGTGTTTCCTACATCATATGCATTATTTTGTTGATATCTTATCACAAAGAATGCGAGAAGTAGACTTAAATTTGCGGTATGAACCAAACAAATAAAGGGTGAAGATGAGAAAAAGGTCAAAGCTAGTGTGATACTAGAAAGAATAATTGATGCTTGAAATATTATAATAAATTCTTCTACGGAAGAGTTATTGTTCTGAACTGGCCCGACAACTTGACTGGACCCAGTCTAAGACATTTTCTTTGGTACGGCCCACACGACCATGACCCGGATTGCCCGCTACCTGTCGTGAAATGTCGGCCATTTGTCCTCCCGAACCAGCACTGGACCAGGATGATCGACGAGCATCCTCTCAGCTTGCCCGACATGAACGTCGTATAGTATGGTACGGTGGGAAAACTGACTTGAAGGTTTTATATTTTATCGCAAATGTTGCGGTTAGCAAGAGTCGCCACCGACTTTTCTTTTATCCAAAAGGAAAGGTGAAAAAACACAGGAAAAATCTTTGAGATTGTTTCTTGGGTTCGGAGGGTAGATTATAAAAAGGGAAGGTATTAGCACCCTTTTTATCCATGGTTTTCCATAGGCTCTTAGTTACTTGCTAGATCACTTGCTTTTGTTTGAAATGGTGCTTTGTGTGGTTTTTGAAAGTATTTTGTAAAAGAGGCCATTGTTTAGGCAATCTTTGTAATGATTCTTGTTCGTAAGTGTGATACGGTGGGAAGAACTGACTGTTTTTTAGAATGCTAGTTTGCGTTTTGCGTTTGTTTTCGTAAAATGTCGCGGTAAGCAAGAGTCGCCACCGACTTTTATTTTATCCAATAAGGAAAGGAAAAAAGCACAGAAAAATTCCTTTTTCGAGATATTTCTCGGGTTCGGGGGTAGATTATAGAAAGGGAAGGTGTTAGCACCCTTTCTATCTGTGGTTATCCACAGGCTCTTAGGTACTTGCTCATATTATTTTCAAAATTGCTTTTCTTTGTGTTTGTGGGTTTGAAAAAGTCTTTGTTTGAAAGGTGTAAGTGTGAAAAGTTTTGTTTTGTTTTGGAAAGAGCAAGTACTTAAGAACCATCTACCTACTCGAAAAAGGAATCATTCTATGCTATCTTCCTTTAGACAATGCTATCCTGCTATTGATGAGTAGGTAGCACCATCATTGGAGTTTAAGGGCCAATTCGAATGCGGGACTTGCGGTCACCAAAGCAATATTAGGATGCCTTAGCGGTAACCCTAATGTCTTAGATCATTTGTTTGAGGCAACAATATCCGAGGCAACCGTTTCGAGGCGACTATGATCTTTGGACAAGAGGGCGACCTCTAAAGTGACCTATGCTTAATGACTGCGTACGAAGGCAACCAAGTGGGGTGTACCCTAAGAGTGCGCATGTGCGAGTGTGTTGTTTTCAGTTAATTTTATCTTTGCACATGTTAATGGTGATCTATGTTGATTTTAGGTTAAAACATTCAGTCTTATCATGCATCCCCTATTATCAAACATCTAACAGTTTATATTTTGCGGAAAATAAATTGCGGAAATTAAATTACAAGGCGTCGGGTATTTACATCGCCAAAA